ATAAAAAAATATTCATACTACGAGAATCGATGATATTTCACATCTTTTCTTGTTTTACTGGCAAGAATTCTTTTTCAGAAGAAAAATCGGACATTCTCTTCGTTATCTCTTACACACTAGAACCGCGATTGAAATGAAAATTTTTATTACAAATTTAGTCAAATTCGTGTGCGTATTCACTTTTTTTGCGAAAATTTTCTGTCAATTAATTTTTTTAGACACAACACCTAGTATGCATTATCAGTAGGATAACTTTTTTTCGTTTTCTAATAAGGATGCTACTTGAAACAATATCATTCATCTGTCTAGGTCCATGAAAAAGATGATATTGATATTGTTTGTTTATTTAGAGCAAATAGTACAAAACATGCGCTTTACACTATATTCTTTACATACAAATGTTGAATATCTATGACATTTGTTTGAACTATTCTAATCTGAGAATTAAAAAGAAAATATTGTTCCTTTTGTTTTCTTATTTTCTAAGAACAAGGTCTAAATGGACCCTGGTTGGTAGCACAAGTGTCAATGGAGTAGTTTCTTGGTGAAAATTGACAAGTTTTTTGGAGATGAGTCGAAAATTTGCCCCTACACTCAAAAAGTTTTCTTCCCACGTTTAAAGGTTATTGTCTCCTTTCTCTTACTGAACCTATTAATAAGGTCCATACCTATCTAGCTAACCGTTGTCATTAATGTCTATTCGTAGACATTATAGTAACTATTAACTCGATCATTGGGTTTTAATTCCATCTTAATTTCATTGAACAGAGTATTCAAATTATTGATACAATAAATATAGTGGCAAAATTTTTTTGAATTAATCAATGCAATTTGGACTTCAATAATTATTCTAGGTTATAAGTACTATTCAATATTATAGTACAAGTTCGTGGTATTCTAGAAAATGATCTCGAAGAAGACCGAAACGTCGAATTAATTAAATTACATTGATTAATTCAAAAAATTTTGCTACTATATTTATTGTATTAATATTTTTGCCTTTTATATTAAATTCAAGAATATTCAAAATTATCATAACTCGAAAAGAGAGATGGACAAACATAAATCTGCTCAGACCGTCTAATTTCAGTAAGATCTAGTTTGTCGAAATATTATTAGTTCATAATCTTTTGATCTCGTCCAAATATGTGAAAACTTAGACAAAACGTAAATTGACTTGGATCGAAAATATTCACACTGTGCTTTGATAAATCTAGATGAAATTGCATACTTTCCATTGTAGAAAAACTTTCTTCGCTTGGACACGTTGTATAGAATTTTTTCTAGAACTCATTTGAACGAAAAAATGAGTTAGCAATACGATGCATTTCGATAACTTTATTTGCTGAAAATTGAAAGAAGAACGAAATATCTTTGATATCTAGTTGCTATGTGTTGAAACTCAACGACATTTTTACTTATCAGGCAAAAAATCTTTAAAAAATGTGATTCTTAAACCTTGGTCACAGTTTGAAGGATCTGAAATTATACTATTTGCTGCTTGAAAAGATATGAATAAAAACACGTTTTAGACCTTCGACTTAAACAGTGTCAGCTGGTTAAATAAACATTCGAAACAACAGTTTTGATAATCGTTTTAATACACTGCAGTATTCGAGCAATTGTTTTGATCGAATATAAGTTCATTGCCAAAAGTTTTGTGCAATCTGCTAAGCTTATTAAACGCAGTCTTTTCATAGTTCGAAAATCGTTGAAATCGAAGAGAACAGTCACACGCTTATTTATAAACCGAGTGAATTAGGCACAATTACTGTATCGACAAATTCTTTTAGAAACTGACGGTTTTTTCGAGATATACGTATATGCTCATATCAGAGATATGTTCTTTCATAACCGCTGTCTCTTTATAGATTGAAATGGTTCCTATGAATGATAATACTAATGTGGTCAGGGACTCGCTTTCCAACCAGAGTGTATTAGTCGATGTAAACGACAAGACAATGCCAATTTCAAATACGCAAAATGTAGGAAACATTCAGAACAATACTATTGATCGAACAAAAAGTTTTACTACTCGACGGAATATGTATGACTTTGTCTTTTGATGCAAAATATGATAGTTGTTGCTCTTTCCTAGGAAAAATTACTACTGGTCAATACTAAATTTAACTACCAAACCTGTCTCTGTATTGGCTATGATCACAAGTATAGCTATGCTCGTCAGTATACTGGTAGTTGGTTTTACGTCACCACAACCACCAGGTACACTCTTATTGTTTTACGTTCTTCGTACTCACTATGCTAAAACTACGCAATAAGATCTAGCCTTTCTTAAAAGTATTGTGTGTTTTTGATTAAAAAAAAACTGTAAATCATCATAATATTTGATACCAATATGCTTGAAGCATATCGTCAGTCGAGGATAGAATTGTAAGCGTTACAACTGCTTCACTTTTCAGTATCAAATTAGAACTGAGGAGTGAACCAGCTAAGATGACCATCACCAATTGAACTAATACGCTGCTCCTCAATCGAACCCAGTGAGAGTAGAAAATGGCAAGACAGATACAATTTCTTATAAGGAAACGTCACCAACTAATACTCTCTATTGGGGCTCACAGTTTATTAGTCGTAGAGCTCAAAGTCTAGAGAAAAATTCTCAAATGATTTAGTTTTCGCCGCTTTATCCTAGAAACACAAGCGTAACAAGATTCTCTAAAAAGGAAATTATTGTGCTTTCTATCAATTTCTTTTTCATATAACTTCATCGTATCCAACGTTTTACAGATGATAGAGAAAAATTCCTTGAATTATTTCTTCTATTATTTTTTATAGTATTTTTTAAAGTCTCTGAACGAAAACAGCAGCTTAGGGTGGGTGTAGGTGTACTTCTTCCTTTCCTTCAGACCCACACCCACACCCCAAAACATCAGATGCGAGAAACTGATCAATTTTGCTAGTGAAGTTCTACGCTTTCCATAAGTTTTGAGCCAATTGTTAGAAATTTAGAACTTCAAAGGTACTTAATTTTTAGATGATCATGTTAAAAAATACAGAATGACGAATGCGATGATCTATTTTTATATTATTTTCAAAGAATCGAAGAACGGTATTTTCTTGTACAACTTATTTTCGCCATTGTTATGAATTGTAGTTGTTGAATTATTATATTTGGAAGTATTTGAGCACTCCTGAGAGAAAATGTTATTATGTGTTCAGAAGATGAAGCTGAATCTATTCTTAAAACAATATAAAAGTAGATCATTGCATGCATAATTTTGTATTCTATAACATGATCATCTAAAAGTTAAATACCTTTGAAGTTCCAAATTTCTAACAATTGGCTCGAAACTTATGGAAAGCGTAGAAATTCACTTGCAAAATCGATCAGTTTTTCGCATTTGAAGTTCTATCGAGAAAAAACTAACCATACCACGAGAATTAGCTCATCGAGCTCCACAATCTAGTATATCTTCCATTTGAAATCGTGATTCACACTTGGAGACTTTCCCTCGTCAGCCAATGAGCAAAACATGAGTTCAAACAGAGGGTATCAGTTGGTGAAGCTCTCTCATGGAAATAATTTTTGTCTTTAGTCATACCTCTTATAGCGATATTTTCTTATAGGTCGTCGTTCACTAATTAGCCGAATGACGATGTTTCAACGTGATATTTTGCTTTCATATGTCTCATAGTTAGTAGAATATTCTAAAGGTTTCAGCGAAAACGTGCATATCTCTATTACGATAATAAATTCGCCGTGCTTCAATATATAAGTAATCCTTGCGAATTGATCATCTAACGAAGAACGCATGCATTTTCTCTCCCAAGGCTTCATAATATTCGAATAACTATACTTCTGTGATAATGTGTATTTAGTCACAAGTGAATCTGAGAACGAGAAACGAGAATGTAGAAGTTATCTTATCATTTCGAAAAGCAAAGTTCATTGTACAACTATGGAGACCATACGCCACAGCAATATGGTATGATTAGACGAAAATGAGTCGTCAATCACGGTTATAATCTAATTGTTATTGTTAATTATCAATGCAAAATATTCGTGATGGAATGAAAGGACTTTTAGAACACAATGGTACTGGCAATCTTTTGATTTCGAAACGGTTCGAAATTTTCTCCATGATGTTATTATAGTAGCTAATGACAGATTATAAAAGAACGTCTAAGATAGAGATAATAATGGTTTTGATAATGTAATTATGACCAATCCATCCATAGCCCTTAGTTAAACCATATTAGTTGCTTTACCTGTTCTTTCTCAGTTACAATGTATGCATTTCTTGAATGAGTTCTCTAGTAAATGAAAGAAAGCGTGTGACAAGTAATCTGAATAATGAATCCTAGAAGACTCAGCGAGGTTCTATTGAAAATTACTGGCATTTATTCAACTCTAACTGCAATAATCCGACCATTTCAGTAGAATCTTATTGTGTTTATGAGAATCTGATACAATTCACTAGGGATAGTTGAACCAGAGTAGTTGATCAGTCTTTTTGTCTATATACTTCTGTTACTTAGTGCCAAAATGTGAAATGCATTTCAAACCAACTACTTCAAACCCAATTGACTATAAGAACGATCCTCGATCTGTCGCTTTTGGCGACTTCAATAACGATAATTTGGTAGATATTGTTATTGCCAATTCTGCTACTGACGACATAGCTATCTATTTTGGATATAGCGATGGCACTCTTGGAAGCCCAGTCAAGTATCTGGTCGGTTTTGGCTCTGCTCCATGCATGGTAGCTAGCGGTGATTTCAATAACGATCGTCAACTGGATATAGCAGTCGCAAATTTTGGCACAAATAGCATTCATGTACTTCTTGGCCTCCAAAATGGGTCTTTTCCCAACCAAACAGTTCTATCGACTGCATCATCTCATCCCGTTTGGATTCATGTGACAGACCTCAATAATGATGCAATACTAGATATTATTACCGCTAATTATGGCACACATAGTGTAAGCGTATTTTATAGTTATGGAAATGGAAGCTTTTCAATACCAACCACGTACTATATGGGTCATGATTCTTTTCCATTTGTGGTGACTAGTGGTGATTTCAACAGTGACAATCAAATAGATCTTGTTATCGCCAATTATGGCACTAACAACATAGGTATACTCCTTGGAACGAATAAAGGCATTTTCGTAAATCAAACTTTGTTTTCAACGGGTCTTAATTCTCACCCGTACTCGATTGCCGTTGGTCATTTAAACGATGACACTCATCTAGATATTGCCATTGCTAATCATGGAAATAAGAATATAGGTATACTTCTCGGACATGGGAACGGAACTTTCATGAATCAAACGACATATTCACTTGGTGATGCTTCTCCATACGCCATTGGTATTGGTGACTTTAATAAGGACAAACGAATGGATTTTGTCGTTACTACTAATAGTACTAATAATATAGCTGTACTTTTCGGCTATGGAAACGGCTCTTTTGCAAATCCAATATTATATTCAACTGGATCTTCTTCCTCAATTTTTGTTGGCATAGGTGATTTAAACAAAGATGATCGTTTAGATATTGTCGTCATTAATAATGACACAAGTAGCATAGATATCCTGCTTGGTTATGGTAAATTCTCTTTTAAAAATCAAAAGACATATTCAACTGGTTCTTATCCAATATCTTTAGCTACCGGAGACTTTAACAACGACTCTCGATGGGATATTGTTGTTGCTAATACAAATGATAACACTATAAGCGTGCTTCTCGGTTATGGTAATGGTTCTTTTGCAGATCAAACGAAATACTCAACTGGCTCTTACCCAAGATCTGTAGCTATCGGTGACTTGAACAATGACACTCGATGGGATATCGTTGTTGCTAATTTAAATGATAACACTATAAGCGTGCTTCTCGGTTATGGTAATGGCTCTTTTGCAGATCAAATAAAATACTCAACTGGTTCTTATCCAACATCTGTAGTTGTTAGTGATTTGAACAACGACACACTATTAGATATCGTTGTCGTTAACTCGAAAGATAACACTGTAAGCGTGATTATCGGTTACGGGAACGGTACTTTTGCAGATCAAAAGCAATATGTAACTGGTGCTTATCCACAATGTATAGCTGTCGGTGATTTTAATAATGATAACCGATTGGACTTCGCCGTTTCCAATTCATATGACAATACTGTGAGTGTACTTCTCGGATATGGGAATGGTTCTTATGCGGATCAAAAGAAATATGTAGTTGGCGGTTATCCACAACCTATAGCTGTTGGTGACTTTAATAATGATACTCAATTGGACATCATCGTTGCTAATGCACTCGACAACACTGTAAGTGTACTCCTTGGATATGGTAACAGCTCTTTTGCACGTCAAAGAAAATTTTCAACTGGCGTTCGTCCATCCTCTATAGCTGTAGGTGATTTTAATAACGATACTCGATTGGATATTGTCGCTGTTAGTGTATATGGTCGTAATGTGAGTGTACTGCTCGGATATGGCAATGGCTCTTTCGAAAAACAAACGAAATATTCAACTGGAACCAATCCATTGTATGTAGTTGTTGGTGATTTTAACAATGACACACTATTGGATATCGTTGTTGCTAATAATTTTGACGGCAATATAAGTGTTCTGCTTAATTATGACACAGGAGCTCTAGCGCACCGTATTACATTTGCTTTTGACAATGGCTCTCTTTTGCAAAGTGTTGCCGTTTTTGATTTCAATAATGATAGCCTACTGGATATCGTCTTTGCCAATTATGGTACGAATACCATCGGTATCATTCTTGGATCTAGCAATGGTACTTTTGGAAATCAGACGATGTTCTCGACGGGTTGGAATTCTCGTCCCTACTCGATTGCCATAGGTGATTTCGATAAAGATGATCAAATGGATATTGCAGTGGCCAATCGTGGTACTAAAACTATTGACTTATTTTTGGGAAATGGAAAAGGAGCGTTTAACATTCAAGAGAATTATGGCAATGGTTTTAATTCCACTCCATTGGCTATTGCTGCTGGCGATCTTAATAATGATGGGTATCTAGAAATTTAGCTGTACAATTATTATATTATCAAGTTTCAACTCAATTTCAGTAGCACTCTTCTGTTATAGTCATTCTTCACAGTTTTGAAAGCACTTTTCACGTGATTAAGTGAACATTTGAGCAAGAACACGAATTTCTTGGAGATTAGTTGAGTATCTGCACAGTTTCAAAACATTTAATGTTGCTTTTTATCATAATTTACTGATGTTATTCTAAAGAAAATGTCGATTTGGTGCAAGTTCAATTTCAAAGCATTCTCACAACCTAAATTAGAAGATGATTTTTTGTTGCAAGGTACAATTTTGTAGTATCAAAAGTATAATGGATCACTGTATTACTAATACGTTTTACTTGAAACATTGCTTTGGATATTTTCACGAGGGCTGCAATGAAGTTTGACAATGTGAGATGGGCATTGCTCTTAAATTTTCATCAGTCAATGAGATAAGACAACTTTCTTAAATCTATTTGAACTAGCTCAATTTTCTAAGAATATAGATGATAGTTCTATGAACAATTAATTAGCTTGATCAAGTTCTAATGTTCGCTGATTTGAACATCTCATGTACCATGTATGAGGCCTATCTAAGTTTTCGAAATACAATATTAGTTACATTTGACTTGAGAATTACAATGAATTCAAAAATCAGAATATCATTTCATAATCAGATGCACTTGAAGGTAAGACAAAGAGAACTATCATATCCAAGATCTCAAATGAGGTACACACAATTTCAGACGATGTACACGTTAGGAGATGACTATTTTATAAAATGGGTATAATGATGGACTGCATAAATTTCAAATAATTCAAGTGAGCACACAAGAAAATTAATCGCATAATAGAAATTTTAGTAAGAAGGAGAAGCAGAATAAAGCATATGATAGAAATCATAGCTTTATTTTAACGTGTAGGACAGGACATAAAAGGATAGTGAAAATCTTATTTTAACTTTCGATCAACAGATTGCATATTAGTTTATTAGGTATCTGACAGCTAATCTATTTTGTATCATTTTCAAATACAGCAACAACTTCTTCAACAATGACCAGCATTGTGAATACAAGAGAACATAGAAACATCGTAATTTATTATTTTAATGACATATTCATCATAAGAAATACGTGTAAAAAATATGAACTTTAAGGGTTTTAATATCACTACCTGGAAATATAGTAGATATTAATAATAATAATAAATAGAACAATACAAAAAAAAATGTACATGATGACAGAAATGACACAGAGAAGAGGCAAATGTACAAAAAAATAAAAATAAAAATAAAAAGATCACATAATGTTTTTATGATTAATAGTAATTCGTCTTTTCTGAGCAATTAAATCAGTCTCCAAGAAATGCCTTTCTATCACTCTCTAAAACAGTGTCGAATAGAACTCTTTCTAGTTCTAGCTATGGCTTTTTCCAGTTCTATAATGAACATGTCTAGGACTAAAAAAGTGATTGTATTCAACGCTGTTTTTTCAAAACAAAGGTAGACACAGAACAGTATTTTCTGTCCTGCCGCAAGCAAAGCTCTAGTGAGAAGCATTGTATTTGATGTTTTTTTTTCAGGTAAGGATTTAGTCTGTTCATTTTTCAGAAATACAATGACCAAAAATAGAATACTTTTCGATGAAAATCTAACTTCAGAATTATTGTGAAGATGTTTCACTAAAGTAAACTTAGTCTATGAATACCAACTAGATGAGCTCGTGTTACTATTTCAGAACTATATCAAGCTTAGTGATGTCATTTTTATTTTTATTTCTCTATATACTGTACTTTCTTCACTGTAAAATTGACACGGTGCTGAAGAATATAAGTTTAGACAATATTATAATACGTGTATTGGCAGTTCATGCTTATGTAAAAACTTCATTTCCTGAAATAGAAAGTTTTTATGGACTTTTTCTCATACAGTTTATAGTATGTACGGTAGTGGAGAAAGATTATTGAAATGGAATACAACAGATGTACTCAAATGATACAGACGTTTTTTGTTGACGGCAAAAGCTTGAAACGCAGCAGTAGTCCCATAATAGTTTATAACTGGCAGTCCCTCACGTTACTAATTAAGCTATGAAAACATGAAAATGTCTATCACATTTCGAATGTTTGAGTTCTTCAAACCGCAGCTCTGTTTCATACTGGATTTTTATGAATGTAGATGATCGTTTGTATTTGCACTAATGAACGGCGTTGAAAAAGTAGTGATGCGACAATCCAATGGAGGAAAATGGGAAATGATAGCTCTGCTTCTGTTATCGATGCATGCACAAAAAACACGCAGTAGTTAAAAGAATCGGCCCAGAATTCATCATTTGCACAACGGTAAATCTACTCATCCTTGTTAATACGAGTCTATTGCAATCAAACTCTTTCCTCCTTTCATACATACTATGTGAACAGCTCCTATTGTTATCGCATATGACGGTACCGATGAGATCGATGTACTTGTTGCACATGACACAAAATCTTTTCGAAAACAAAAAACATATGCGACCGGTTCTCGACCATCTTCAGTTGCTACTGGCGATTTTAACAATGACACACTATTGGATATTGTCGTTGTCGATATGTACGATGACGATGTAAGTATACTTCTGGGATATGGTAATGCTTCTTTTGCACATCAATCAATATATTCAACCGGCTCTGGTTCAATTTTTGTGGCTGTTGGTGATTTTAACAACGACAGGGTGTTGGATATCATTGTTGCTAATACAATGAACAATACTGTAAGTATACTTCTCGGATATGGCAATGGCTCTTTTCTTCATCAAACGACATATTCAACAGGCAACAGGCCAACGTCTGTAGCCGTTGGTGATTTTAATAACGACTCTCTATTGGATTTCGTCGTTGCTAATTTTTATGACAACACTGTAGGTATATTTCTTGGATATGTCAACGGCTCTTTTGGATCTCAAACGACATATTCAACTCCCCCTAGTCCACGCTCTGTAGCTGTTGATGATTTTAACAATGACAAAATATTGGATATCGTCGTTGCTAATGTGTATAACAATACTGTAAGTGTTCTTCTTGGTTATGGCAATGGTTCTTTTGCAGAACAAACGACATATTCAACCGGTTATCATCCGGAATTTGTGGTTGTTGGCGACTTTAACAAAGACAAACTATTGGATATCGTCGTTGCTAATTGGCAGAGCAACACTGTAAGTGTTCTTCTTGGTTATGGCAATAGTTCTTTCGCAAAGCAACTGACATCTTCAACTGGTGCTTCTCCAAGTTCTATAGGTGTTGCTGACTTTAATAACGATGGTCAATTGGATATAGCCGTTACTAATAGTGGTGATAATACTGTAACTGTATTGTTCGGATACGGGAATGGCTCTTTTGCAAATCCAATCGCATATGTAACTGATGCTTTTCCAAACTCTGTAGCTGTTGGAGATTTCAATAATGACAGTCGATCGGATCTTGTTGTTAGTAATTTATGGAGTGGCACCGTAGTTTTACTTCTTGGATATCGCAATTACGATTTTGAAAAACAAACGACACTCATAACTGGCAATGAATCTCGACCGAGGTCGTTTGCTTTTGGAGATTTTAACAATGACAGTCAAATAGACATTGTAGTTGCAAATTCGGACACTAACACAGTGTGTATTTTTCTGGGACATGGTAATTATTCTTTCACTGATCGAATATCATTATTAACCGAGTCTACTCCAATCTCGGTTGCAACTGGTGATTTCAATCAGGATAGCATACTTGATATCGTCGTTGCTAATTATGAGACCGAAAATGTTGGTGTATTTCTGGGACATGGTAATGGCTCTTTCCTAAGCCAAAAAAAGTTTTGGACTGGCTATAAATCTCAACCTAATGTGCTTGCCGTTAGTGATTTTAATAACGACAGTTTACTAGACATTATTGTCGTCAATTACGGTACCAACAATATAGGCGTATTGCTTGGATATGGCGATGGCTCATTCGCAGCGGCAAAGTTTTTTTCGGTTGGTTATGGATCTCGTCCGCACTTGATTTCTGTTGGTGATTTTAACAATGATGAAAAACTTGATTTCGCAGTCGCCAATGAAGGTGCTGACAATTTAAAAATTTTCTTACAGACTTGTTAACGTTGCAAATTCTATCTTGAACCTTTTGTGTTATTTCTTGTTTTTAAAATTTCTATTTAGTACTACTAATATTTCTGATAAACTTATGTATATTTCTCTTTTGATTTCTGTGTTTGCATAAATTACGTTTGAAAATGAGTATTTCAACCAAAGTATGAACTTTCTCGAGGCTACTCTAGGATCGCATCATATAATTTGCATTAATTATTCAAACAAACGATTGGCAAGATCAAAAGTATGATACATAATCTACAATCTTCACAAATTATTCTCAGAAGAATTCTCATCATAATAGTAGATATAATTGTTGTAACAGTGATGAAAACAAATTTTGAGGCTTTCGGAACCTGTTTTAGAGATTCATCAAGGTGCGCAGCTCAGTGGGAAAACACATCGTTCTATCTCTATGATACAAATTAAGCTCCTATTGTCGATTCGTATTTTTAATCAATCGACCAAAGTAAAAAATTAAGCAACAATATTATGACAAAATAATGACATTTGTATAAGTAATACATAAAGATAAATGCTAAATAATTTGCCAACTGCTTTTCTTGTCATTTATTTGCATAGAAAAACTCATAAGGAGGGTGGACTTCAAATTTTAGCACAGATAATAAACAAACTTTTTGATAAGAAAAAAAAGAAAAGCAATTCATCGAGTTAGCCACTGTAAAAAATAAAAAAGAAGAAAAATAAGATACATTTGAATACGAGAAGAAACCAAGCCATGATACAATGGATTGTTTGTTGTTTTGATCGATCTCGAACGATATTTGTCTTCTTCGTATTGATTGCTCCCATTTTGGGTGTGGGTGTGGATGTGGGTGTGGGTGTGGGTGGGTGTGGGTGTGGGTGGGTGTGGTGGGTGTGAGTGTGGGCGCACTATATACTGATACCCACATCCCACATCCCACATCCACACCCACACCCACACCCACGCCCACACCCCACCCCCATACCTACACCCACACCCACACTCCACACCCACACCCACACCCACACCCACACTCCACACCCACACCCACACCCACACTCCACACCCACACCCTCAAGATATTTCTTATCTTCTGACCCTGGTATCTCAACGGCAATCAGCATGAGGTAGATTTGTCAGAGAGTCGTCATTGATGATGATTAGTTCTTTTTAAAGCGCAAAGAATTAAAGCAGGGAAATCTTTCCGAAATTTTCAATAAAGGGTATGGGTGTGAGTGTGGGTCCGTGTTGGTGTGGATACGTGTGAGTGTTGATAGGCGTGGATGGGTATGAGTGTAGGATGTGTTTATGGATTTAGCTGTTCATCTTGTCCACAGCCAAACCCACATCCACACTCACACCCACACCCCACACCCACTCACACCTACACCCACACCCACCCACACCCACACCCACACCCACACCCACACCCACATCATGATCAGGACTTTTGGTTAACCCTGGGTAATACAAGATTCCTTAGTTTAATAATTAGTACATTGTAATTTTAATCAACACATCTAATTGAGAAACTTCTGGTTTGCAAAAATTCACATTAGGAAACTAATGAAGGCTAAAACAAAATATTTGTGCATTTTTTTAATCCTGAACAATCCATTCATAACATTCAAATTGTTCTGGTTTTCTGAGACACTTTTTCAACTATTAATACTTAACAAAGAAAAATCTAATAGAAGACTTCACTGACACATTTATCTCATTGAGTATCACAGAGTACCTGAGATCTTCTATTATAGGAAAGAATACTGATATTCTGTTGACTTTGATTAAATTGATCATGACGTAAATGCTTTTCGCCCTACACGATAGAATTGATTTGTTTTACGGTCTGCTTTTCTTAGACAAAGAAAGGCCAGAAAATATATCAACAGTTGCATTTCTATCTTCTTTTTATGCACTTTTCTCGCATTACATATCGAAATACTTTTCCAAAGTGCATGACTTTAGCTCGAACCGAATCGATAAGAGTCACGAACCAAACTGTGTCCATCTCTGCCTCCCCCCCCCCCTTACAGCCCCAGCAAATCTTGAAAATTTCATGCAACTTGTATGTTCCTGTCCCAAGATCGATTTTTGACGAGAGAGCCTTTAAAAATCTACTCAGATTTGACGATGTCAATTGTTATTTACAATAAAATGTTTTTTAATATGATTATTATTTTAATTTAGTTGCAAAAATTGGAAGAAATCAATCAAGAATTAAAACTCCATATATCATTACTTGAACGATCAATTGAAAAACATAAACGTTTAATACGAAAACGTGAAAAAGAACTTGAACAAGTTAAAAATGAATTTGAACATAATATATTCAATGTTTCATCACTTAGTAATAAAGTATTTATTATCTTTATTATATATTTTCAGAAATTGAATGTATATATTTTGTTTAAGTGTACGAAACAAGATGTAGAAATGAGTATTCTTCGTATTGAAAATGCATCATTAAATGAAGAATTACGATTACTGAGAGAAAATATTAATCATTGTCAAGAACAACAAAGACGTTTAAGAAAAGATTATGATTAAGCTTTAACTTTTATTCAAGATGAAATTCCTGATATATGGTAAAATGAATGCAACCAAAAAACTATTTTTTATAATCTTATTTGAGATGTATAACATCCTTTAATTTCTTATAGTCATTTAATCACTTTGCTCAATTGTTTGCATGTGTATTTTTTTGAAATTTTTCTTTTCTATGCATTTTGTATCAGATAATATTCTTTTGTTTGAAATCTTATGACAAATGTATGTGTGTGTGTGTGTGTGTTTGTGACTAGGAAATTTTTTCAAGTAGATTTGTTATATGTGCACTATTTCTAGGATGGTAAAATCAATATAGAATGGTTTTTGTTTTTTTAAATAAAATATTTTAGTTTATCTAGTTTGAACGACGAAAATAATAATAATAATCATAATGGAACATTACAAACACATATTATGCAATATGTAATAGATGATAGAGAAAATTTAAAAAGAGAAAATGCATTTTGGTTTCCATTCGTTCGAGATATTACATTTGATTATAAGAGTTTTCAGGAAAATAAAAAAAAATATAAAGTGAGTTTTTGATCAATAGGTCATCGTCATTATTGTTTTATTCGATATTTTTGTAATAGTTAATGAAAGCATATCCAAAACAACAACAATTATTACTAAATCAACTCGAATCTCGTGTTCACTTCTACGAGTGAGTTAACATTCTGTTTTGTCTAGAAATTGACTTATCATTTAATTTTAAATAGATCTATTTTTGAAAAAACTTGTTTACCAGCTATTGAATATTCAACAACAACTGAAACATCGAACGTTCTCGATAGTAGTCACCATTGAAAAGACCAATCGTAGATTAGTTTTTTGTTTTGTAGTCGATCGAGTAGAATAAAAAATCTCAATCGTTTCTCAACACTTATTCAATTCCGTAATCAATTAGAAAGTGAATAAAAAAAGAACGACTAATTAATTGACTTCAATGGTTATTGTGTATGTATAGGGTGTGGGTGTGGGTCTAAAAGAAGAGAAGAACCACAATCACCGACACTCACATCCACACCCACACCCACGATTTAGCGTCGTTGATCCCTTCGATGAAGAATAATAAGCCAATTAATAGTCATTGGAACAATAAATGCATTGTCAGAAAAAATAAAAAGAATTCTGATAGAGTGTGTCTGAGATAACGCTTTTATCCTACTGGTGTCAAGTCGATTATGCATTCGCCCTAATTGATGTGAATGTTTAGTTCGGAAAAAGTTTATCGAAAACGTACGATAAATACGTTCTATGGAGAGATTTCGGCGAACTGCTTGCATCGATGCATAATGAACCGATTATTCTGTCTACTTTGTGAAGAAAGTTTTACGAAACTCGAAGATTTATACGTATCTCAAGATTCGTGAACAAATCTTTGTTGCGTATTAACCTCAGATCAATCTAACATTGATAATTGTTTTCGAAATATTCTAATACCATTGTTCAAGATCTATTGCAAATCCCGGAAGCTAAGAAAAAAAAACGGATGAAGCACCAACCTTCGAGGTTTCGCATTTTTGTCGATGAGCAACAATGGCTATGGAATAAATAGGACAAACATTGATCCTCTTGGCAATAAAATGATAGCGCATTCGAAAAGAAATCAACTACATCTACTGCCTAAGATGTATTCAAACGCGTTTCAATTTAGAAAAGCATCTGAATGCATATGAGCTGTCCACTACATCTGAATGTGCCAGTAAGCCAAATGTAAAGCCTTGGACAAAAGTCTTCCCCCCTCTGTGTTTTTATACTATCATACTTTGCATGAAATTTATTGCCAAGTAAAGATATAACATGAGAGTTTTATT